TAAATATATTTTATTATTCCAAATTCGTCAAGTGTGCCTTATTTATAACACGGGCAGTTGTGGATCTGCCCAAGATCCAAACCAAAACCCACATTGGTGACCCCGACGTGTTACTGGAAGGCCGACGTAATTTGGAGGGCTAACATAATCTTGAGGGACGACGCAATCCGGAGGGCCTACGTTCGTCTGAAGGCAGACAATTGCTACATTTGGAGTTCCGGCAAAGGAATAAGGACGACTGTACGTGGATGGGAAAATTCAACGTCCACGAGATCGTGGAAGCAGGAGACCTGGAAAAGGAGGAAGCGTCAACGCAGACCAGCGTGGATTCAACCTTCGTCTTTAGAAAACGAGCGTCTTGGCATCGTAAGTTAGGTCTAATTTTAAAATAACTGCGTATTAGAGCGAAACTCGCCATTTTGAAAGTCATTAGGAAAACGTGCTTCGCGCGAGCGAGAACCGCCATTTTGAAAAAGTTTGTAACGTTTTTTCTCGCGTATTGTGTCGATTCTAACATGACGGAAAAAGAAGTCAGTGACGCCGCAGCAGAATTGCGCAGAGAAATTGAAAATTTGCGTTCGGAGAATGAAAAATTGCGTACTGAAGCAAGTGGGGAATTGCGTGTAGATTCCTATAAATTCGCGAAAATACCACCCTTCTATGATCAAGATCCGGAATTATGGTTCTGGCAGGTAGAAGGAGCACTCCATTCCGCGAATATTAAAACGCAAACCGCGAAAGCAAATTTCATATGTGGTCTACTACCCTACGTAGTAGCTGTATGCGCGCGAGATATTATCTCCAAATCTGACATTAGAGATAAATTCAATCGGCTCAAGGAGCGTATCATAAATGCCTATGCGAGCTCCGCTGAGGCTCGCTTGAGACAGTTGTTGAAGGGAGAGGTTTTAACCGACGGTAAACCTTCCCAAATATTATATAGGTTGCAAAATCTTAACGATAACAGATGTGATGATGCTGTTATCAAATCCATATTTTTGGACCAGCTTACACCTCAGTGTAGAGTAATTTTAGCAGCAGCATCCGTAACTGATCTCCAAGCTTACGCGGCATTAGCTGATCAAGTCATGGAAACGATGAATGCAGGTACAAAATATACTGCGTGCGCGGTATCTAAAAACACAAAATTTCAAGAACCTGCTCATAATTTTCATTCTCTTGCCGTTAAAATCGACCGATTAACTCAAAGCATTCAGAAACTCGTGCGTTTTGAAACGAGCGTAAGGGAACGCGGATGTTTCAAATCTCGCGTTAGAAATAAAACAATGTGCTGGAAACAAAAAAAATTCGCGAACAAAGCACATGATTGCGCGGAACCAGCAACTTGTACCTTTGGTAAAAATTCGGGAAACTAAACCGACCTTCACTTGTAGCGACGGTCGAGGAAGGTCATTCTGAGGGAAACCGTCTACATGTTAGAGATAAGAACTCTGGTCTACTCTTCCTGGTTGACTCCGGCGCAGAAATTTCATTACTGCCCGCGAGCAGCAAAAATAAGAGCGAACCTGCTGATTTTAAATTATTTGCAGCAAACGATACATTAGTTAACACTTATGGCATGACGCGTTATATTCTTAA